GTGTGAATGTGTGTATGCACCATGACTTTCTTGTGAAAGTAAAAGGTCAACCAAGCTCAGGTTTGTCAGACACAGTGTCAGACACTGATACCCACAGATCATCTGACTAGCCCTCTCCACTGTAGTTTTTGAGAAAAGGTATTTTGCTTAACCTAGAGCTCTCCAGTTCAGTTAGACTAACAGACCAGTTAGCCCAGGAATTGAGTCTACCTCCCTGTTCTAGGATTGCAGGTGTGTGCCACCATGCTCAGCTTTCATCTCACCCGCTGCACATACTCTTGCCTGTGTGCACCTCTGACCAGTCTGGGTATATTGCCACGGGGCTAGCATTCTAGTCCTTTCTCTGAGTGGTGGATTCTTTTATGCTTGAAAGACTGAGTACTACTCAAGAATATATTTTTTTAATATATCAAATACAATCAATTCAAGTTTCAGGCAATTCTTTTCAGTTATAGAGACATGGCCATAAAGTGGTAGTTTAATCTTGCAGACTACAGATCATATTGGAAAAGACAGAAATGCAATGTAGCTTGAGATGTGATAAAACTTGACCTCTTAGCATGTGCAACACATGTATGCATGTACTATAAAGTCTTATCAGAATAAAAACAATGGTTCACCAAAAGCCAGAGTTATGAAAATGAAGGAAAGAGCCACAGCCTAGGATATATATATGGCTCATTGCATAAAGGGCCTAGTATAAAAATATGAGGACCTGAGTTTATACCCCTGCACCCATATAAAAGATAGTCCCAACAGGGCTCTACAACCCCAGGGCTAGGTGGCAAAGAGGAGTGCGTCCCTCCCACTTAGTCTAGACAAACTGGTGAGCTGTGTCTTAAAACGTAAGGTGACGAGTGACAGAGGAAGCCACGTGACATCCACCAGTAGCCTCCATATGCATAAGCACAAGTATGTCCACCCCCACACATGTGCACACATGCTTATAACACACACACACTCTTCAACATCTTTAAAAAATTAACTCAATTTTAAAAATGGACAGAAGATTTAGCCAAATAGAAAAGATTAGAATAGACAAAAAGCAAATGTAAAAGATTTTCATTGGTCATGGGAAAATGCACATCTTAAGTATGATCTATGTACCTTATCCACTACGGAAGATGAATGAAAGCCAAAGTCCAGCACTGCAGAGGGAGTAACAGTCCTCTGCCCTTGTTAGATGTAAAATGATGCAACTGTGGTAAAGGGTGTGGCAGCACCTTTAGAAAAACCAACTGTTTTTCTCAGTGCTGGTTATCAAGCCCAGTGCCCTGTGGAGGCTCAACAGGGGCTCTGTTACTGAGCTACGTCTCCAATTTGGGGTGGGGAGTGGGGGAGCAAAACAAAAAAACCACTAAACACATTTTGTTCTTAAATTTGTTAGGCAAATTTTTAAAAATTCAGATTTGGAAAGGAAGAATGATATCATGATTTTACACATAAAAAATCTCAAGGGCTCCATAAAAAAGACTGTAGAGAGGCTGGCAAGATGCCTCAGTAGATAAGGGTGATTATGGCTCAGAAGGTGAGGGTGAAGTTTGATCTCTGGAACCCACATGGTGGGAAAGGACTGGCTCCTGAAAGTTGTCCTCTGGCCTCCTCACACGCACCATGGCACCTGTATACTCTCCTGTCAATAAATAAATATTTTTCAAAAGGATTATAAGAGTTCATAAATGAGTTCAGCAAGGCCGTAGGCATCGAGATGCCCATGGCCATCTTGAAAACTAAGAATCAACCCTATGACTGTGACTCACTTCGCAATTTCAAACCCCTTGCCAAAAGACAGACATACAACTTAATTTATATTTGGCTGCTTTTAAGACTTCAAGTGTGTGTCTGAGTATGGGTGTGTACACACAAGTACAGATGCTGCAGAGGCCAGAGGCATTGGAAGACCCTGCTGCTGGAGTGACAGTACTTGAGAGCTGCCCAACGTGCGTGCTGGGAACTGCACTGGGATCCACTGCCAAGGACAATGCATGTTAACTGATGAGCCATATTTCAGACTCCTGATTGGCTGGGTTTTGTTTTTTGTTTTTTGAGTTTTTTCTTTTTGTCAAAGGTGCTAAGATAATGCAGCAGCAGGAGTATTTTGAACTAGCGCTGCTGGGACAATTGGGCAGCCCACCTGAATGAATGGAACCAGGTTACTATCTCATACCACAAAGCTAATTAAAAATGGACTGTACAGCTGAAGAGAAAGGGTGACATCACAGAACACTTAAAAGAAGGCAGAGTAAACCCCAGCACTTCAGGCTAGGCAAGGGATTCTCTGAAATTCCCGCAGTGTGACATCAAAAGACACCAAATAATGAGAATACATTTCAGAAGGCTGCTTACGATATACTTTGCAAATAAATCTTAAAAACCAAACAGTATGATAGACTTAGTAGGTCCTTGGTAGAGGGCCTCACTATCCCTGGAGAGGAGTGGGGGGGGGGGGGGGGGTTAGGAGGGTTGGGTGGGGAACATGGGAGGAGGGGAGGACGAGGGAATGGGGGGATGGATATGTAAATATGAGTAATTAAAAATAATAAAAAATAATTGAAAAAACACTTGAGGAAAGAGTGAATATTATGAATGAACACATAAATATGAAGGGTAAATATATAGTGAGTTATAGTGCTCAGAGGGAAGGGAGGGAGTAAAGAGCTAAATAAAAGACTTAAACAGTATCTGCAATGTTGCTCTTAGCGTGGGGGGGAAATTTCTCTGAAACAAATAGGACATAATGTCAATATTTGATAGATGCAAGTAAATAGTTTATAATTTGGCAAATTGCATTCATATTGTGAGCCTTCATTACCAACACAACACAGGGCAAAATGGAGGTGGATGAGATTGACATGAGCCTGAATTAGTCCCCCAGGAAGGATTGTGGAAATGGCTTTGAGATTAAACCCACATCATCAGCCCCCTTATTCACCACTGCTCTGATTCAAAGCTGGAGTTCAAAGTGCATGCCCTTAGAACAATTACTGGAATTTTCCATTCGCTTGTATCCTATGCAAATAGATATGACTTGTGTTTATTTTTTCTCTCTCTTTGCTCCTAAATTTGTTTTCATCAAATTTTCCCAAGCTGAGTCTCTTCCTTTTGCTGTTTTCTTTTCCCTAAATCTGTAGTTCCTTTCAAGCAGCTATAAAGAACCATTTTTCCCTTTGTTCATAATGCAAGCGGCACAGGTCCTTAGTTCCATTTTCACTCTCATCTTTAGCCTTGGGGAGGGGGTGTTGCCTGTGTCTTCTATTGTCCTGAGGGTAGAATAAGCCTCCAGGACTTGCTCAGGACCAATGGGCTACTGCATACAAAATATTTAAATAGGTGAAGCGGGTCAGGAAGGGAAAGGGCTGAGAGAGTGACAGCTATTACATGGTCAGTGCTAGCGCCGGCCAGTCCTTCAGGTGAGTGGCCTTTCTGGCTTTGGCACCCAGTTCTTCTGTCTTGGAGCCCCATAGGGGACTTGCTTCAATCACAGGCGACACAAAAAGGGAGAGCTTTTATTCTCTTTTTTATTTATTATTTTTAAGAGTTACTAATATAAGTTGGATAAGTAGCTATTTTCTGTAGATCTTGGTCCCTGGCTCTTGATCAAAAAGGGAAGCCTAAGCATTGGGTTTTTTTTTTCTTCCTTATTTAGCTTTTACTACTTCTTAATTTTCTTAGATTTATATATAATAACATACTGTCCCCCATCCCTTTCTCTCTCCAAACCCTTCCGTATACCCATCCTTGCCCTCTTTCAAATTCATGACCTCTTTTTTTCCACTAATTATTGTTATATATAATTGTTAGGTCCAAAAGTGGGCCCTAACCCCCCAAATGACAGTGACACTGACAATGTCATAAATGACAGTTTTGCCTCAGCTCAGACTGGACTTTGGCTGGATAAACAGAAAGATTGCTAGTGGATAAACAAAAGCCTAAAAATCAGCATTTTGGCTTTCTGTTTGTCAGGAAGAGGCATACTCTCCCCTTATCTGCCTCTACAGCCTAGAGCTGGCTAGCTTCTCTATTAACATACATCTATAATGCACATCAAAGTTCCCATGCGAGCTCCCAGGCTCTTCTGGACTACAGCCCCTACTACTCTAACTTGCAATTCTTGAAATTCCTGCTGCAAACATTCCTCTTTAAAGCTGGCAAGGTTTTTTCACCATTCCTTAATTGCCTGTAGTTCTTTGTGTAGGGTTGAGGCCTCACAGGCTTTCCCCAGGCCACTTTGACATGTCTATTATTGTCCTTGTTCTTGTTGGTGACACTATATGGGTGCAGCTTCTGACTATCCTAGGAGAAACAATCTCACAGCAAACTCCATGTTCCTCGGGCTCTTACAATCTGTCATTTTATTAGTGAACTATGAAAGAGAATGGTTCAGCCATCTTTATCAATAAAGATATTGATGAACCAAAAAATTACATACATGTTACTGTACCCACATCATTTTCACTCCCCAACAACAGTACCAGATATCATTACTGAGTATCTTCCACAGGAAGACAGTGTTCTATAATAGCATGCAAGGAAGTTTTGTTACACTGAGAATCCTCTGTGAGAAAGGAAATCTCATCTCTCCTGTGCCAATGGGCCCATAAGACAGAAGAAGGACAAAATGCACAAACTAATATTGCTGAAGAGGTGGAGCCAGCACCAGAAAAAGCCACATCCTTCAACACATGTTACTTCCCTCCGTTGCTGTGAACAGCAGGATGTTGGCTTGTTCTTCCCCACAATCCATTGGGCAAAGTAGGGTGATATTTAAGTCCTCAAAAACCAATCTGATTTTTGGATCATGATGCTGATAAGACAAACACACACATACAATTTTTAAAGTTTAATATATAATCACACCCTTTCCCCCTTTGCTTTCCTTCCTCCAAACCCCTTCCAAACCCATCCTTGCTCTCTTTCAAAGATGGCTATCTATTGTCAAACATTGCTCATATGGCCATGTACCCCAGCAGCAAAGCCTCTTCTGAGGGATAGAAATGTACCTGGATAGGGTCCTGCGTCAGTCTCATGGGCCCAATGCGCACCTCCGCAGAAGACACCTGCTAAATAAAGGACAACGCATGAGAAGTGTCAAATCTCTAGAATATAAATTGCTAAATCAGTCCTTACACAGTAGACTCTATTATGCTACTTCATAAATGATGCAAGAACCTAACTCACTGACATGGAGACATTTAGGAAGCATCCTAGACCCATTTATGAGAATCTATACACTGTATGCACTGGGAATATCTATAAGGCTATATCTTCAATGGTAAATGGCAGGACTCTGGGGGTAGTTTTACTTCAGGCCCAAGGCTTTTATAATAAGCATGATCTGTTTTACTGGAGAAAACAATTTGATGATTATTTACTGAGCACCTACTATACACTAGGAGCATTGTTATCATAGCTATACTATATTACAGTACATACTGATATTCTGAAATTCCAGGATTGGAACATGCTAGCTCACACCTACTGATTAGAGCTGCCTCTACACTCACACCTTCTTTTTCTTTAGGTTTTAGCATGAGGAATAAACAGATAATTCTTACTTGTGTGTATCGTGGATACCACCTCCATCTCAGTGGTATTTCCTCAAGGGGACACAAAGGTATCATGCCAGGACTGCAAAAAGGCTAACCTTTGCTCAGTCTCCTTGGATAAACTGGAGCTCTCAGTTCTTCACTAGCCCACACTACCTAGTTGTCCTTGGCTACAGTGGAGAGCAAATGCATATTTGCCTTTAGTTTTAATCACTTTATTTGGATTTCTAAAACTGACTTTTCTCCAGATGAATTAGGCTGAATGTCTGGACCTCATCTCCATGGATCCAATTTTGTTTTTCTCTAGGTGGCTTCGGTGACTTGCCACTTGGAAGGTTATCTTGTTTGAAACACATCATGTTGGCCCCGGTCTGTCTGAAGAAGCATCATCAGCAAGCATCATGTGACCAAGAACACAGCAATGACCCTGAGCCAGGCTTAAGCCATTAAAAAGTGACAAGGAAAGTGTAACTTTCTGGGCTAGGGATGTGGTCAGTTGGTAGACAGCTGGGATGCATGAGGCCGGGGGTCTAGTACTACACAAACAGGCACAGCAATATAAGGTCATCCTCGGCTACAACAACTTGAAACCAGACTGGGGTACATGGGACTCTGCCTCAGAACCCAAAACTAAACAATGACAACAAAACTCCAAGGTAGAATTGTAAGTTATACTTTGAAAGACCCAAACTATTTCCCTTCTCCCCTTTCTTCCTCTTCCCCACATTTAACTCTGGGCACTCAGGCTGTAGCTCCCCTCCGATGTATCCCTATTCTTTTCTCTGTAGGGTGAATTTTCCACTTCACTTCAGATCTTGTTGTTAGGAAATAAGCCCAGCAGAAGTCCAAGACCCAAGCAATGACCAGAAGTTTAAGATCCACAGCCTAATGACTCTGATTTCCAGAACTAAAATACAGGCAGAAGGAGAGAAATCCCCCCATAAAGTTCTCCTCTGACCTCCACATGTGTGCTGTGGCAGGCACCATGAGTGTGTGCACATACACCAAATAAATAGAAATTTAAATGTAAGAAAAATAAAGTATCAAAGGAATAAAATAAAAAAGGGCTTTCTTTGGGAGGCTAAGAGTCTGAGGGTAGGATACCTACAGGAAGGACTCAAGCTGTCCCCGCCAAAAGGAGGATTTGCCCCTATTTGATGCATTGCCTTATATGTTTTGGCAAGTCCCCATTAGGCACATGATGTGGAACCCTGCTAGCCTACTTCAGTGGTGGGAAGCAGGAGTGGCACATGCCTTTAATCTCAGCACTTGGGAGTCAGAGACAGGAAGATCTCTGTGAGCTTGAGGCCAGCCTAGTCTATGGAATACATTCCAGGACATCCAAGGCTACACAGAGAAACCCTGTTTTGAAACAACAACAACAAAGACTAAAAAACAAAACAAAATCAAATATACCAGGAGACAATATGATGACTCTGAATACACCCTACCTCTCTGTCTCAGGTATTGTGCTAGGTGTGACTTTAACAGGAGACCATGCAATGGCCATTGATGGACAGCACATTTTCAAAGGTGACTCTCATTCTAGAACATACTAATTCCTGCCTCAAGTAGAAAAGACCACAGCTTTGTCATACAGCCACAATGGTCCCCAGTCACATCTACACTTTGACCTCGGTCTGGACCAACTTGGCAGAAGCCAGGCTCTAACTCTCAGTAAGAGGAATGCAAAGGCCCTGTCACAGATTTCTAATTAAATGTCCCCTACTTATCTCCTTCCATCCCCTTGTCCATGTGTCCCCTCCCAGGACTGTTACTTCAGCTTGGGTGCCTCCGTTTACCAAACTCCTCTAGTCCTGACCCATACTTTGCTTCATGTCTCTTGTCTCATCCTTTCCTCTGAGTCATCCGACCTTGGCCTCAATATCCACAGAGATCAGCTGTCTCACTGGAACCCTTCAGGATGGCCTGGGCAGTGGACAGCAAAGGACAGCTGCAGTACTTTACAAGGCTCAGTTTCAGAATGCACCAATTCATCACACATACACAGACACCTAGGTGGCCAAGCCAAGACTACTTCAGAGGGTCAACTTTAAGCAACTGAAGATGTATAGGTGTGTAGGTTGGCTCTGCCTACAGGAGCCGAGCACCTCTGCCAGGGACAGAGAAGCCAAACCAGGCATAGGGCCATAGGCCACAGAATCCTGTTGCTCAGAAAGAGGGAAGGATGGGACAGGGGGGTGATGAAATAAAATTCTAGGCCACTTCAACTACATGGCTTCCCCAATTACCTAATGAGTACAGTGTATGCTTAAGCACACTGTACAACACTTCCCATGTTATACATTTGTGTATATGCTTGTATGTGTAGATTAGAATACACTATAACTACATGTTTGTTGACAGGACCATCAACTCCCCTTCAGATGAGTTAGTTCTCTAGGGTAGATAATAATGAACTCTACTTTTAGTATTTGCGGATTCCACCAGTGGCCATTCTCAACCTGGCCATAGAGCTAGGGATCCCTTGGCTCTGCACCTGGCAACACACCTGTCTATCCCATGAGAGTTGGTGAGTGGTGAACTCCTTTTGTCTTTATTGATCTGCCAATATCCATTGCTTATTTTTATTTGACAGTTTAGCTGAATATAGAATTCTGCCTGAGAGATATTCTCCCTTAGACTTTGAAGTTGAGAGAGAAAAGATAATTCTGGTTTGGGAGAGATTGAAGAAGCATCCATGAAGTCAGGAGAATAGTGAGAGAGCAGGCTGAGGAGGAGGTCTAGTCACGGAACAGCCTACGCACAGGCAGGAAGGTGGGGGCGCGCCTGGGGGAGCGACACAGTGTTCAGAGTGACTGTATTACAGTGTATGAAGGGGAAAGCTGGTGGGGGGAGTACCAGAGAGGAGCCTTTTCATTCTGGAGGCAACGGTCACCATAGTGTAGGACTCTGAGTTACCATGATCGCGTTTGTGACAAGAAAACATGTGGCTTGCCCACTTCCTAAACAGACAAGAACAGATATTTAACAACAACAAAATGACACAAAGCAAAATGTTTCTCTGAGTGGGAACTACTGACAGAGTGAAAAGCCAATGGGAAAACACATGGTAGTGACCAGACAAAGGAGTGCATGACGAAGGACAGTGCTTGACTTCCCTTCAAGAGCAGTGAGCTCCAGCACATTGCCTAACAGTGCAGCATGGGTGTGAGAGAGAGAGAGAGCGCAGCTACTTAAGCTTGCTGATTCACTGTTCATGGTGGCACTTTCTTTGATACTGATTGCCATACCTCTCAGTGGTTTCTGCTCCTGGAAACTTGGTGAGTAACTTGGCATTGACTTTTACAGCTGTCCTCAAACCAGAAGGAAGCTGAGATTCAGGAATGAAAGCCCTCCCCACCACCTCCCAAGCTCAGCAGCTTGCTCTTCCTTTTGTTCTGCACTTCCTTGGGCCCTGGTCTTAAATATTAAACAGCACTTAATCATCTTAAGATTCCCTGGGACCACCATCAGTCCTTGTGCCAACTTGGTTGTGTTGCTTCTGTGTTTTGAATGGACCCTCTCCACCCTCCAGCTTCCAGGAAGAGAGACCCCCAACATTAAAAGCATTTAGTGACACCATGTGAGCCTGGGAGGCCAATTCCAACTTGGGAACCCTATTTCACTCTGAAAACCTCCTTTTGGTAACATGTTCATTACCTCCAAAACCCTCTACTTCCTATTGTCCCCTCAACCATGGCTTACCTGTTGGCTATGCCATCACACTAGCCTCTAGCACTCTGCTGGCTTTGAGCTGGCTGTCAGCTCTCCAGTACGTCCTGGCACCTCTGAAACCCTGTACACTTCGGAGCTCAAGAGGTTGACGGGAGGCTCTTGATTCCATTCCCTTCCCACTTCTGTCTCTAGTCTAGACATTCTGTGTCTGACCTTTACATAAGAAATCTCCAGGGAGACTTTTTAAATGAATCAATTCCTGCTCTACAGGAAGAGAATCCAAGGACAGGGCCCTAATAACAGTACATTGTATTTGTGAGTGCATGAGGCTTAAGAGGTTCGAGTCTCCTCTGCTGAGGAGACATGTCAGTCACAGAGGCCTCTTTCATGGCCTCTCCCACAGACTCTATTACATGTACCAATAGGTACAGTGTGGAAGCCCCAAAGTCCACCCACACTCAGCTGTTGGACCTGGATGCAGACACAGGTTGTTTATGATCAGGCAAGGGAAGATATTTGGAGCATTACCCATGCAAAACAACGTCCCTAAATTATAACAAAGATCAATACAAATTCTTTATAGTCCACTATTTCTTACACATATATGGGAGGAAGGTAAGTAAAAGTTAATGATGATAGGCAATATTCTTTGTGTTATAGGCCCTGATGCTTCGGGTTTTATATTAATTTCATAGATGTTTTATCACCTGGACATAAATACAGGAATCTCTTCTCATGAAAAGATATGATCATTAAAAAGAAAACTAACAAATTTGACCTTAAAATTACGAAGCTATGAGAGTGAGAAAGGGAAGAAAAGGAAGGATGCAGAGGTC